ACAACAAGATTTTCGCAACAGGAGCCGCATGGTAGGTAATTTCCGTTGTATCAATCTTCTTCTCCCAGTACTCCTGGAAAGCACAGTGGTCTGCAGGCCACTTTCCAGGAGGAACACGAAATGCAGTTGCGAAAACTGAATATTCCTGAGAAACCTCAGTTGTTCTGTCATCAAGCGGGCCAAAGATTTTCTCATAGGCGCCGACTTCCGTGACATAAAGAGTCGCAGCTACCCAGAGTTGGAGCTTTGGTTGTTGGCACTGTAGTTGGCCACATTCACAGAAGCGTGTTTCCGGTGGACCATGGCGATAACAGCTTTTTTTGTGCCTGAACAACCACCTGCTGCACAGTGGGCATAATCGTAGGAGTTATTGGAGACAGGGTTGGCTATCCAAGACATATTTTGGCCTCATCTTCTCGGTGAAGTTGTTTTAATGTAAGGTGAATCGAAGGAAGGAACCAGCTCGGAATTTGAGAAAATTGCAAAACATGAAGGCAGCCGCGTCATCCGAAGATGATTTGATCTATGTGGTACATCTTTGATAGACATTTTAATTTGGCGGGATCGCTAAATTTACAGACATGTCACGGTCTCCAGATTTGGGGGGTCTTGAGATCAGATGGGGTGTGATCCATTGAGCAAGTCGTTTTTATTTGGGTGAAAAAAGTCCATCAGGACAAACTGAACCTCTTAGTAAAATTTCTCTGAACAAATCAGCTATAAAATGGTGTGAGCAAGCTATGTGATATGAAGCACGGCCATATTTAGTAGTGGGTGCGTGATGGTTATAATCATTGTTTCCCGCTAAGTCGATTGGTTGACAGTTTAGATGGAAATGCCGCCATCTTGGGCAACACAATAACTTCTGACGTACAGGAATACACGGAAGACAGAAATCGTTTAGACTGGTCATATTTTGGAGGCGATAGGGTAAAACCTTCAAAGAGTTCCTCCTCTGAACAGGCAAGCTATGCGTAGAGTTCGCCATTGCACCCTAACTAATTCTGAGCCACATTAGTATAAAGAGTCTTATTCAAGGATTCCGTAGGATCTCACAGAAAATTTCCTGGTAAGACGATATAGTACTCACGATAGGGATGATTAGAGAGAGAATAAATCCAATCATACTCTTTGAAGGGCTGGGAGATTGATGGCCTGTGTAAATATAAAAATGTTCCAAACGTTTGTCGATTTCTTCAACTTCTAACTCCTTCCCATGAGGAATTATTTACACCACTGCTGATATCGGCCACCATATGTTAATAATTTCCTATTCCCCCCATTGAGGCCAAAAGCCAGCAATTTCTCAACCAAGTATCGAAATAACACTGTAATTGTTTGCATCCTCCAGAATAATTTCAAATCTTAAATCCGCATGTGTGTAATTGATGCAAGAACAACTGAACATCTTGTTAATCGAATGGTCGACAAAGTTTATAGCCTCTGGTCACTAGTTAAGCAACACTTCCATAACTAATGAGAGCCAATCCACCCGGTATCAGTGAATGCATGTTGGCATTTGAGAAAGGTCTCATTCTGGGCCGTCAAATATCAAGTTACTTCCACTCGAGTGCCTCATCGAGACATAGTTACTTTCCGGAACCTTGGATTCAAGGAACTGGTACAGACGTGTGGTTTCGAATAAAGGATATTGTTTTAGCTTCGTCTAAATCCTGGACTAGGTCCTAAATTGTGAAGAGTAGAGTCGCTCGTGATTAGAATCGTCACCAGTGTTGTTCTTCTTTAGCGACGTCTTGTTGGTGAAGCTGTCAACGCTTTATATACTGTCAATGAACAGACCTTAGCCTTACACACTGTCAAATCATTTCCCGTCGCTGAGCAAAGTCACTAAGGTTTACCTGTGAGCTATTGGAACGCCTTGGCGTCTCAAAGCATTACAATACAACGTCCTACAACGTCTTTGCACACAAAGTATATACAGAATCTGACGTAAACCGGCCAGAGTTCCTTCATGCAAAAGAGGCAGACTGGGAACAATGCTGGCCTTCCCTCAGTTCTCACGAAGGGATGGAGGAGATCGAGGAAGTTAGGATTAGGGAAGGCTTTAAATATCCTTAAAGTTGAAAGATAGGAAAAGGAGAACCACGTGTTGTGGGAGGGTTAACTAACTACAGTTGATTGTGGTTTTATAAAAGTTGAACGTGGTTTGTAAGTTGGGCCCACTTAGTTCATGAGGAAAAATGTTCAATTTGCTTTTGCCGCTCACCTGTGGTGGGCCATTCGGAGAGCAACCGATTTTCGTGTGCCCAACCCCTCAGGAATTCCACTCGCGCACTGCCTGCAAGAGTTTTAATCCAGGGGCATCCATTGGTTGGAATGACTTCCTACATCCTGTATCTCCGTACCTCTCATCGGAACCCTCCAGGAACCCCTGAAAGTAAAGAAACCTGTGTTGAACCATGAACAGTGCTTGTCAGCAACCTTAAAAGCATGAATTGCTTCATATTTTCTTTCAGGGCTACCCCTCCAATGTATATTTTTTTTTCTTTTAAGGTATCTTTGATCAGTGACGCCTGTCTTTAACTTGATCAAGATCTGCTGTGCAAGCTTGCTGGCCCTGTCTCCATATTTCCATAGCCCTCCTTAATCCCAATGAATTCGTTTACTGCTAGGTGGATGTCCATTGACAGCATTTATTTCCCTCAAGTCTCATGACGTATATTAAAGAGTTACCGTTTAGGTACCACATTTCGCAGATCTAGTCTTAGTGTGCAAAGCGATATGAGTTTCATTTGGTGTCGACCCAGACGAACTACTATCTGGCGTCCTCAAGGGCACCAAAATTTCTTAACGGCGGGGTTTCGCCTCTGCGTTTAGGTAGCTTCTGACTGCCTAGAATTACCAGCACCTTTGAACCCTTGACCAAAATATTGAACTGAGCGGGTCTAATAAGTCACTAATTTCTCTAGTTAGCTAGAAAAAGTCTTATCTCGAAGGTTTCAACGGTCATCTTGTCATCCACTTTTGCCCCTCCCTTTCAACAAATACACCCATCCACCAGAGTCATGCATCATACCAATCCCCAAAATGCATTGCCGTGCAAAGGCGGATATATGGCCAGATGGCGGGGCTTCCTGAGATAGCGTTGGCAAATACAAAGCGTTTCGAGGAGATGAGAGCAATCGAAGTACCAGTGGAACCTTTGACAAGATTATTTGACAATCGATCCATAGACAACTAACTAGTTAGTTAGTCGAGCAGAACAGTGGAACTAAAAGTCCAGCAAGGGTTTCATTCTGTAGCAGATACAACATGCCTCTGTTAACCCTGAAATAAATACAGCCGCCCAAGCCGGCAAAATTCAAATTCCCACGATGTTTCGACTACCTAGTGTTGGACCAGAGCAACTGCTAAGTACCTAACAAGGATGACATGGTCCCGAGTCAGCTTCCAGGTTGTTGGGATGAATGGTTTTTTTTTTTTTTTTTTTTTTTTATTTATTTATTTTAAAATTAAAAGATATATCTAGTTAGTGTTATCTAACTACACTCAAAGTTTATGATTTAAAATTACTCCGTACTTGACTTCCTGGTAAATATGCGTGTCCCACAACACCCTGACATACCAGTGCGAATATCATGGACTGCATCCCAAAGTCAATTTTGACCTCACTTTATACATAATTTCCGTCCCTCTCTCTCCCTCTGCTCCTCTCTCTCCGTTTCCATCCCTCCTCCAACTGTTCTTCTTCTCGCGTTCTCCAGGTTCACCTAACACCCCACAAGACTCGACAGCCCATTACCCCGTCTTTTGTGATTTCTCGCAACCTCCCCCCCACCTCCCAAACCATTCCCCATTCTGCGATAATCTGATGTGACGTAACACTTCTCTGGCAACATTTTGCTTCTCCTGCGTTGCAATAATCGCATTGGGCCTTGCGGAGCCTCAGGAACATCCATTATCTTTTTTTATGGTATGTCAATTAATGTTCTTCTCCTGTATCTCGCCGCTTCATATCTGCTTGATAGGGACAGCTTGTTTATGACATCACCTCTAATTTCATATTCTTGCAATGAAAACCATTTGTCATTCCATTCCTTACTATATCCTGCACCCTATTGTTAACCGGAAACCGGCCTCCTAGATCCTATGCTTCTATGATAGACAAGGGAGCTTGTTACAACCCCTCTTTCAAACACACCGCGCAACTCCCTCCGTTGCTTCAAACTCAGGTACATATACACCCTGGTAGGCATATGGATAAATATGTGCATTCACATGAAGTATGTATGTATGCTTGTTTGACTGAATTATGTGTATAGCGAACTGACATCCATGATGAGCCCCAGAGTGGCTGATACTTGGGGGTTATAATCCTCATCACCAAAAGTAAACTCCGAAACATCCTCCGGGATGCTTACCTCTCTCCAATGCAATATGCGAGGTGCCCAAATGACTGAATGGGGCGAATATAAGAAACACTCCAAATATTGGTGCAGGAAAGGAATTGGCAGTAGTATGCCTGAATCACCCGAAGAGAGTTAAGTGGAAAATCAAGGAACTTCAAAAGAAGAGAACAAAAGATAGTACAAGATCCGACGATTGCCTCGTCTGACAAGTTTAATATCCCCGATGTAACCTTCAGATTTAATCCTTAATCATCTTTTACGCCGTTAATCCTGGCCAATATAGAGGATTAATTCTTTCGAACGTCTAATCGTGTCCATTCAGAAGCGAAGCGGAAAACTGCAAATTGGATAATTTGCCCCCGTTGAAAATATATATAACGACCGGCGTCGGGGAGCGGTACACTAGAATCACGGATAGTGGAGGAACTGAAGATATATGTTGTTGTTGTTGTGAGAAATTGTAGGAGGAGTAGAGTGGTGGTTGACGGGAACGGCTTTGTTACCCCGCGATCGAGAAAGGCCAAAAATTTACTGTGCTATACTGCGAATATTCCCAGACAGCCTCATCTGCGCGGCATTTCTCGTTGGACGTTCTCCAGGGGATATCGGCTCGAGTCACTATAATCGAATCTAATTTGAAGGCGCCCAGCAGAACTGAGATTCTGCTCCTCCGGTGCCACCATTTAGACCATGGTAGAATCCAACACCACTGACATGAGGATACACGATGCTGCCATCCTCTTGCGGACATGGCCTTGGTATACCGATGTGTCGCTCTCCTACTTGCGTAAAGCAGTTCGCCGTGCCAACGCTGAGATATGTCAGATTGCCATCGGAGCTGCCCGCGATACGTTCAGCCTCCGGACTAAACCCCGCAGTCGAGTAAGAGTGGATGAATTCCTCGGGTGGGCCCTGCATTGGCCACACATTGTCACTACAATAGTAGACGGAATATGTAGCATGATGTCGGCCAAAGGATGGTTCAATTTTCACACAGTCCTGTTCTAATGGAGATGCTAAGGCGCTCGTGCTTGACGGGGAAAGCTCAAGGGAACTGACAGGCTCTAGGGACAACCCATTCGTTTCGACGGAGTCGGATGACATCGGACTCTTTTCCCAACACGGCGAAGAGGATGAACTATTTCCCTCTAACGTCTCCGGTGACTCCTCAGCTTGTTTGATCAACCCTAATCTATCCAGAATGGCATGGGTGCAAGGATTACCATCCACAACATCGATTGGGTCTCCTGGAAAGCACTCATTATTTACGCAGTGGGTGTACAGCTGCTGCAGGGCCTTCACTACCAAGGCATGGTGCGACTCGAGCATCTGGACAAAGCTATAGTAGCCATAACAAGAAAAAAGAAAGCAGATATGTCAATGCTCCGTCGAAGAGAAAGCGAACGGAGAAGTAGGAATGCAAGCTCTCACCCTCTTGAATACGCCTTCATTTGCGTCGCCTTTCTCTCGCGAAAGAGACATGGATGATTATATGCCGCACAGCGATAACATGGTTGGTTCCCGTCGCACTGGAGAAATTACTATGAGTCCCATGTCACTGACAAATGGATCGTGACGTGCTATGACTGGACCTTTGTCTTCTTTACCCTGCAACGGTCGCAGGCCTTAAGGACATGTTTCCGTTTGGCTCTAAAGATCTGATGCGGCATCCCACTTTCAGGAGTATTTCTCTGTGGACCGAAATTTGAAAAAGATGCTGTCGCATTGGGAGCGAAGTGAGTCTCCGGGGGGTTGATAGATGCATGGAGTTTTGGAAAGATGGTTGGTGGCATCTGGGCGTACTGGTTTGAGGAATAAGGTGCAAGTACAAGAGTGAAATAAGGATGGGAGTGAGGAAACTGAAGCTGTGCCAGCAAAACCTCGCAGAAAAGGAAGGTTTACGAGGAGAAGAGGGGAACATAAGATATAGAAAAAAGTGGCAACGTTTATTTGGAGAGGCATGGCCAAGTTTGTTGTCATCATCCAACCCGCCTGTTCTTTCCCACACCACTTTTTCTCGAACTTATTCGGTAACTACCTACATGGTTGTGACGTGGAAACAGCTCCAGTCGTGGTGTTGTCGAAATATTTGAAGGTAGGATTTACCCCTTCCACATTTTATTTTCTCACCCCCACCATTCTGCCCTTCTCATTCGAAACAGCATGGGGATGGTTGAATTAGTACGGCTTTGATTCGTGACCAGGGCTCTAGTCTAATGCCACGGTGCTTCAATGTCAGCATGACTTATTCCTAGGTATCATTGCGTGGGGGAGGGAAGCCATCGTATCAAAATCGGCCCGACCCGACTCCAAAGAGAAGCGGGGCAGCGAAGCTAGAATGAGAAATGGAAGTTAGTGAACAGAGACTGGCTTGATAGAGTACTGGGGTCGGCCTTTTGGGCATCAAATGTCGAGGATTAAGAGCAGCTCATGGTGTATTTCACATCTGGTTGTTTTGCAACAAGCTGGTGCCTCCCATAGCATGATAGTTGGAGGTAGTTACCTTGCTGCATTAAGTAATCCGATTATCGACGGTCAAGCGGATGAGGAGTGAGGGGCATCAAAGACCTCAATTGATAAACGCAGCGATTTTTGAGGCGAATCCCATGGATGATGATGGGAGGGCAAAACTCTTCCGAACCAGGCTGATATTCGACCCTTGCCAAATGATGGGCCTAATTTGAATACCCGAAAATTGCCCTTGGCTGATTGCGAAGTTTGGTCCACTAGCCCTAAGCTTCAAATGTTGCAGGTTGGCTCAGTCCGCACTGTTCCTATATCTGACGTTGTGTTCTGATGTAGCCTGATAAATCTGATCATCTGCATGCTTTCACTGGTATTCGGTTGAGTTATCGTCCCTCGCAACCACTTTTTAGTGGTCAGAGAGACGACCCCCAAACCGGGGGCCTTTGGCGGTTCAAACGCTGGTTGGTCTGCCTGCATATTATAAAATATTCAGATATCGAGAGCTTAGTTAGTTGCCAACACCCGCCTCCCTTTACCGAACAGCCCTCAAAACTTTGGTGCATGAGGTATCCTGTTGTTCTGGATTAGGGAATTTGTATAACTAAAGCATAACTCATTTGGGTGTTCTGTTTTCTTAATTCTTAATTCTGTTCGCGGTCGTCGATTATTCCTATGTTATCCCCTTCTGCAGCAGAAACAACCTTAATTTTGGAAGGCCATCTCCTGGTATAATGACATCATCGCTCACTTTCACGGCTATTCCCCGACAATATCGAAGCGCGATGACGACAGTGACGGCGAGAAATCGATGGCGGTAAGCATGGCGGCAGCAACGTGCAGTGCATCTCTGGGATGTGGTTGGGGCCAAAACACTGTCCTTGAAATGCTAAATCTCAGGTTGTGATTGAACAGCTGAATGCAAATCAACCTGCATGATGCTGTACGTATTTGCATGCGCCCTTGGGTATTGCTACAGCGGCATATGTATTATTACCCTTCCACGGGCCACGGGCCACGGCGCAGATGATCGGTGCGAACGTCCAAGAACAGCAAGGGTAGAGCCGCCCTGTTTCTTCCCTCAAATTTGGTTTCTTAAACGGGATTTCCATTCAGGCTAACATCGAAACATCCCTTTTAGTTCTCATACCAGCTGGCTGCATAAGAGCAAAGAAATTGTAATCGCTGAGATTGCTTATGTGCTGTGATCGCCAAAAAATAGCCCTGGACTAAGCCGGAAGGAGAGGACTATTAGTTAACTAAGTTCGCCAGCACAGCCTCGAGAGATTATTTTTCCGTACTCCTCCGTGGCGTTTCATTCACACAGCCAAGTTCATTTTCCAAGCACGCTTGGCGTGCATATCCATCCCTGCCAGATGTCGATACTTAGAACCCTCTCAATGCACCTTAATTTATTTCGCTTTTATCCCTCTTCCCCTCATTTCGCCCCTGTTGGCGGCCAATCTGTGAATGTGCGCGAGAAGAAACAGACGAGCTAACCTGACAACAACACGACGAGACAGCACCATTAAACATGCCATCCATTAAGGAATCCATTAGATACCAATGCCCATGTGAAACTGAAGATGCTCTTCTTCCAGAGAATTGTGTGGGAAAAAGAAAGCGCTGGTGTATTTTTCTAGCTGTCTCGCCGTGTACCTTCATGTATATGTATATCACATATATCTCAGAAGAAAACAGCACAGGAAAATAGCTGGTATCACTAGCTCGAGTTTAGAAATTACGTAACTTGGAGTCCTCCCATTCGTTACGAATCGCAGTAGAGAGAGATGACCCCCTTTCAGTGATATCCGGGTTTCGGAGACAGAATCCATGAGGAGGGCAAGACTTCACGGCTCAGCAACCGAAGTAGTAACTATCCATGGATGTCCCAAAAATTACTTCAGCACATCACCCCGTTGGCCGCATACTCGACCTATGGATTCCATTGGACTAACTGCCAACGGAAAAGACTTTCAATGGTGAACGGCCGTAATTTTCTCCTTATAGTTATTCTACTTTCGGTAGGTCCCCTACTGGTAGCCGGCAACCCTGCAGAATCTCCGCTGTCTCGTTGCTTCGAATCATTTTCATGTGATATGCTTTTTTGATGTCCCCCTGTGCATGTGTCGAAGTATCGTGTATCACTCCGGTGTGGATACCTGCTTCATGCAGCACATTCAGACTTTCATATCTGCATCATGCATTGGAACAACAAACTGTAAAATAGCGATCAAATACTACAAAAAAGAGCAGGAAAGGACAGGATATAGTGGGCTAACAAAAAACAATGTCACAAGATACAAGGATCGGCTAATGACGAGACTCGAGACGCATGTTCGAATGTAAGGACAAGCCAATAAAAGACTGCAGGAGAGCTCATTATTCACCAGAAAGAGCCGACCATCGGTTGTTAAAACCCCTACTTGATTCGTGATGCTGCAAGGCTAACCTCGACACTTGTCAACACGCAGGACAATGTGCGTGAATAAAATATCCATATGAAAGTTTGTTCTCCTTCTCCATGTTTATCATATCATTGTCTTGTATGCGCTGTTTTAGTCAACCCTCTCGCGGGAAAGGGGTAGATGGGCATAACGCCTTGGACACCGTGCGGGGGGCGGGACAACGGTATCAGGGAGAGCGCGGGGAAACATGGGAGAAAAGAGGCCCGAGTCCTCAAGATCACGGCTACATACAGCCGTTGACACGCGTATCTGTTGCCTTTCGCAGCCTATATCTTGTCGATCTGTCGAATTTCGGAGATATTCTCTACATGCAAAGATGAGGTGCAAGATGTGAAAACCCTGCCTCAAGGGTAAGTGGGGGCTTATCCTGCGCAAAATATGGAGGAGGGAAAACCATGAGACAATCGGCTTGGGGAAATGAAAAGCGATCATGATTTGTTGTGGAAGATAGTTATGCTGGAGCAAGGTGGTTGTCTATCTACAGGTTGCTCCACGACTACGCGAGCATGACTAAGCAAAGGCGGAGGGAATCCGACAAGTCAAAAGAATAGAGTTGACACTTGCATCTCTCTGCGCGTGAAAGTACGTACATGTCATGGCATCTGTTTTCCGCTCTCCGGCCAAAGATGCTCCCGAATTGAAACCCCCGGATACCAGACCAGCAGAGGGACTAAATGTATATGGTTAACTAAGGAACTACACCGTTGCAGAACCTAAATAAGTTTTGGCAAATAGATGTAACTTATATGTATATTCATTCGAGAAGATCAATACAACTTAGCAACCACCTGTTGGCGCTGTCCACGTCAACCTCTACCTCCAAGAGCAGGACTTGTATCTATCTATCTGGGAGAGAGGCGAAGAGAGGGAGAGGTTAGATATTGGGTGAACCGAGGCTGATAAAATAAAGCTGGCAGTGAGGTGAGGTGGGGGAAGAATTGTTGTCATCTTCCGACGAATTCTGCATACGTCTCTTTCGATTGTAAGACGAGACGACATTCTCTCTTTTATCTCTTTCTGCGCCTGCTTCTGTGGCGCCAGGACGACTAGATAGACGTTGAGCAAAGCAGAGTAAATTATGAATTAGAAATAAAATGGACAACCGAAACCTTGTATATAGATACATACGTATATACAGAAGCTCTCCACACAGGATACCATCAATCCGGCCAGCTAATAATTAATTAGCTTCCCCAGAAATTGGAGTTCACTATCTCTGTTCCAGCATGAGGCTGGCTTCTCCATGGGCAAGGTGATCAAAGCTCTCCTCGCTGGCAGCTGTTGTCGGGGGGCTTGGCGGCCCAAAGTGGTCGTTATCATTCTTATTCCCATCCTGAGCCTCTCGTTGACCGCTGCCAGACCATTTCTCCGCTGCAGAACCAGAATAAGTAGAATCATTCATCCATTTCTGATCGCCAAAATATTCAATCCCATCCCCAACACCCCGTAAATTCGTAGGCTTCTGTCTTGACCGTTCCCGCTCTGAGAGCGGAAAGCAGTCCCCTCCGTCATCAGTGGATGGATAAGGCGAAGCGGGAAATAAGTTTCTCCGATGCCATTCTCCAAGAAACATGCCATCTAAATCCGCTGCGTTGCGCACCCTCAGCCACTCTTCTAGGTCATTACCGTACATAGCTCGTATCTCATTGTATCCGGTGCTGGAGCTGAAATTCTTGGCCCAGTGTGGACGTCCACCTAGATCGCGCATCAGCCACTCAAACGCCTCATAGTATCTAGCCACACAGGGAGGGTCGCGCAGGTGTGGGCGGTACAGTGTGGCATTGAGAAAGAGAGTAGGTCCAAAAGCATGTGATGCATCCAGGTAAGGGCGCGGAGTGTTGGATTTGGAAGTATCCGAGACACGGACTTCGATAGGAGAATGCACCCAGACACCTTTAGAGCTGAAGGGGATGCGGGCTACGGCTGCATCGCCGTTTATCCAAGCGGAGAGCCGGGTGATGGCCTCCGGTCCTTTCTCCAGTGGAAGGGCCCATTCGTTCACGAATTGTGAATAGAGGCAATCCATGAGCAGTCCTGTCCGGCCTGGTTCGACAGCTGAAGTAATTAGTTTCCCTGGGCGGAAACCGTACTGCATGCCGAAGACGAACCACTCGACCCAGGGAAGGATGCACGGGATGTAATTAGATATATATAATAAATTATGGTAAATGAGGTTTCCAACACGTCCACCGTAAAAACTTGAAGGGGGTGCGCGGAGCGGCAAATCGGTCTTATCCGCGCGCCAGACGACAGCTCGTTTCCAGTATGGCAGCCACCAAACGCGCACGTAGTCCGATGACGTCCAGAGGCCTGTGTCCCACCCCTCTAGTACTTGAGACAGCGACTGCATGGACTGCTGCCATGCGATCTTGAAGCTCGGCACGGCTTGCAGCGTAATCTCGGTGATGATGCCAATGGCGCCGAGCGAGAGGAGGGCGGCACGGAAGAGCTCTACATTGTTCTCAGCGCTACAGCGCACCACCTGCCCATTGGCCAGTAGAATGCTAAGAGCCAGTACAGATTGTGACAGCAGTCCGTATCTCAATGAGCTGCCATGAGAACCAGTTGATATCAAGCCGGCAATGCTCTGCTCGTTAATGCTGCCTAGATTTGACAACGCCAAGCCATATTTCTCCAATTCAACGCAAAGGTCGCGTAGCCGTATCCCCGCCTCTACAGTTACGACGCCCGTGTCGCGCGACAACGAGAGGATGCGGCGGAAGTTATCAAGGTTGACGAGCCATGCAGAGGTGCACGTGAGGTCAGAGGGAGAGTGGGCACTGCCGATGGTCACGAGGCGGCGGCGGCAACGACGGGCAAGTGTGACGATTTTTTGAAGCTCAGGGACTGTTTCAGGTTGGATGTAAAGTTCCGGGCGCCAGTAAAAGGTTTTAGCCCACGTATGGTGGAGATGAGATAGTGAGGCACGGAAGGAAATGGCGGGGTCAAGTTTGGAGAGTTCGCGGGTGATACGGGGGTCCATGTTGGGCGTATCGCGTAGAGCAACTCTAGCAAATGACTGGAAAGTCTAAAGTGGAAAGTTACGGATTCCAACGGCAAGCGATTTGATTCGTATTGGTAGCTGAGTTTCCTTTTGATAGATAGAGTGATGTGATTCAGTTGATAGGCGATGGATAATCTCGGCTTCACGGCATAGTGAGGGGCGACAGGATCGAGGCAGTAGTTACAGTGGGGGTGGGGCAGAGGTTCATGATCGCTGAAGAGATGCAATACAGGTGCTGGGTCTTGTGGGACGTTTTACCTAGTGGATTACTCGCCGGCTCATGGTGCGCGGTCGGTGTGCTCAAACGGTACCCGGTTGAAGAGGTCGACCTGGGGACGTTTGAAGGTTCGAAAGCGAAAATTCGTCGAGATGAACTTGCAAACCAACTGTCTGGGGTTAGCATCCCCGAATCGGGTAATTTGTGCGGGGCTGTACGGAGCATCGGAAATCCAGATGCAACCGGGACAGAGAATAGAATAATTGGAGGATAGATGATCAGGGAAGATTCATGCAGGAAGTGATACTTCATATTTTCCAATTTACAACTGTGCAATTTTCCTGTTTAGCAGGTAACCCGAATTGGTTCCCTACAAAAGATCAATAAAAGGAACAGCCAACTCAACCTGAACGCAAAGAGTTAAATATATGCACGCCCATATGCAATCTTGCATTTTCCATCTCACCGCCTTAAAAGAGACATCTCCTGTCACCACAAAAGGGGCTTGGTAAACGCAATCGATACTTGAAATAAGCGACATACACATGTTTATTATTGCATGTCAAGTTAGTTATCCTTTAATCCTTACACCAGAATCAAACCCTCCTGGAATATCCATAGCCCCGCCTTGTACCTCAAGAACACCACCCTTCTCTGCTAATGCGAGTCTTCGTTTTTCACACAGGCCTGAAAGACGAGAACAAGACTAAAATTGAAACCCCGGTTTTCCGTTTTCCTCGCATAATGCATAGCAACGAATAGCCAACCAATAATAGGATCAAGTAAAACAAGGGGGAGAGAAGGGGAATAAAAGAAAAGCGACAGCAAGAGGAAATGGAAGACAAATGAACCCAAAATAAACGCGAATAAAAAGAGCTCTGAAATGGTTTTTTCGTTAGAATTAACATTACGCAAGTAGAGAGTGGTAAAACGTAAGCTAAAAAGCAACATAGAACAGAAAGAAAGAAAGAGAGAAAGAAAGAAAGAAAGAAAGAAAGAAAATCAGCTTGAGGGAAGAAAAACTGAAGGAAAACCCTAATATATAAGAAATCACCGGATAGCTTCAATAGCAGCGCTGAGCGGGATGACACTAGGCGTCTTCCCTGGCAGAAGCATCCCCCGGTCGTCCCACTTCCTGAATGCCCACTTGCATTCTTCCGCCATGCCGTGGATCACTACGTTGCTTCTAGGTAGGAATGGCCTGTCTTGCAGCGAAACGGCCATGATGCTGTACTCTTGGGTGAATATCAGGGCTGAGGCCAATTCCGCGGAACGCGCATTTGCTCGATCGCCTACAATGCTGGATAGATGTAAAAAATGAAGGGTTAACAAACGTGGTCCCACATCCTTCGTACGTACAAACAAAAGGTCGTAATTTCATTTCATTGGGGGTATATAGCAATTGGTGAGTAAATCTCAACTTACACGAAGATCTCAAAAAAAGTATCCAAGATATGAATATGATTCGGATCTAGATCGCGTTGGCAGAACGGTTCGATTTCCTGCACAATATCATTTGGCCTCGTTACGGGAGACGAGTTCCCACGACTCCAAAAGCCAGATCTTTGCCCCAATTGATAATCAATGCGATAGAGCCGGCAGCAGTAGTTCCCATTTGTGGGTTTCAGTTTCCAATGATCTGCCGTTTGAGCTGCTGTGGGCTGGAAAGGGTCTGGGAATGTCTCGAAGAATCCCGGTGGCTCTTTGCCTTCAATTACCTCCTCAATTTCGCCCGTCAAGCCTAGATCCATGCCAATAAGTCTAGCGCAGCCAAGTTCATCAGCTGTGCTTCCCCGACCCTGCCAGAGATACAGTTTGCCGAACTTGGCTGAGATTAAATATGGATAGCCGGAGCATAGACTCTTTGCAGCCAGGTCGACTTCATCAAAGGCAATCTGGCCCATATGCCGGCGGCCGCAGAGCATGTACATTGCAGAGGAGTTAGTGCGGCTACTGGAACCCCTGCGGGTGATGATAATGCCACCAAGAGCTTGAATGAAACTTGGCGCCTCTTTCCCTTGCCGTACAAGCTCAAGTTTGCAGCTATTCTCTCGGGCAACTTTGCGAGCAAAAAGCTGTGCGTCCTCGATGGCCGCCTCACTTACCCCGTCACCACACCATAGAAGTACTTGTGTTGTGTTGGAATTTGACGGACCGTTTGCTTCTTTGAAAACGTGCACACATACATACATGCTCTCTTCGAATAGAATATACCCAAGGTTAGCAGGCAAGTCTTTCCGCTTGCCGTCGCCAGTAATCTCCCAAATTTGCTTCGATATAGTCTTGATTTTTGGATATACATGTGGTTGCGACATCAATATTGACTGCGGATCAACCTCAACCTTATCACTGACCTGAGGCATGACGTCAAAGAAGCTTGAAAATACATTAGCGGCTTCCGAAGATTCTGGAAATGGCGATGCCTTGGCGCTTGTCAAGGGTAACTTAGAGTTGCTGGCATTCGAGTTGGATGGTTTGGGTGTAACGGGTGGTGAGCTAATATGTTCATGTGGGAAGAGGGGAAGACTCTTTTGTTTCAACGGGATTGTTGCCGGTGACGAAAACGCAGAAGACTTGAGTGGCGGACTTGGCTTGCGTTCGGACTTAAAGCTATCATTAAAAGTAGTTCTTCTAGCGAAAGGCTTTAGCGCAACTGATTCCGTCTCCACGCATTGCTTCGAGGAAAGTGACTCCAGCTGTGGCTCAACAGCATCTCTTCCTAAATCACTTGCCGTAGGACCATTGCTGGTAGGCGTGAATTTCCTCAAATCAGGGGATTTCGAAGATACTGGTGGTCTGTCCTTGCTTCGTTGGGCGTCATTTGGCGTTGAAGTTGGCGTAGAAGAGACTTCAGCCGCATCCGACTCGGTCTTCTCAGATGGGAGCCGTGTGGGCAGTGGTCTTGGATCTTGTTGAGCGGGAGAAGAGATTGGTTTAAACATATTATTGCTAAACTTGGCATCTGGTGCTGGCCGCGATGATGATGATGGCTCAACTTTAGCCAGACCACTGACTTCATTACTGGGTGGCGCAGGTTCGGACTTAGCGGATTGTGGCAGCCTCCTCTTCGGACCCCTTGCTCGGGATTTCGTGGTGTGCGTCAACTTTGCAGGCGCATAATGCTCAGTTGGCTCAGTGCGTGACCATGACATTGACGGTGATGATGTGGTATTGGGGATACTAGGCGGCCCGCGGGATAAAATGCCTGCCAAGGCGGGATTCAGCCGATTCGCAAGCTTCCCAGTGCCAGAATGTGCACGTTGTCCGTCTTGTGTGTTGGTTGACGAGGTGCATTGGGCGGAGGTGGTAGTTGGACCAGACGCATTTGCATCCTTTTCAGAAACCCCATGATCGCTGTGCAACTTTGTCGTCATCGATTGTTGTGACGGAGAGTCAAACTTTTTTGCACTTTTATCAGCGAGGTCTTCAGATGACACATTCCGCGAAGATTTGGCTGTACCAAGTTTTGCACTCTCCAGCCCATTCACAAATGAAGATTTTGGGATTGCAGCTGAGATCTCAGCGACAGCAGCGGGGCTGTAGATCTTGTTAGGGCCCTGAATATCTGAAGAGGTAAACGAAGATGGTTTAGATTCTCTAGAAGAGCTAATAATTTTGGGTTGTTCAGCGAGCTTGGGGGACACATCCCTCCCTGAAGAGTTGCTAATTATACTTCCAGATCTAGTCATGTTTCTCTGTCTCGCAATCGCCTCAGGAATCTCAGGTGATTGATTGTCCGGTGAGCTAGGCCCTTTACCTTCAATTGTTGGCATACGAATCGACCCTCCACCAGCTTTCATTGCCTCTTTCTGTTTAAGAATACTTTCCCTAAATTCGTCCACTTTTGGGCCCTTTTTGGGCCCTCCAGTTGCATTCAAACCAGCTTTACCCTTCAGAATATTATGCTTTAACAGATCAGGAGCAACATAATTCTTCGTTTCGGTCTTTCTTAGCTTTCCAAACACGTGTTTGAACTCCGGTTCATCCGTTGTTGAAGTCTCATTGGCAAGCTCACGACGGCGTAGATTTGCTCTGAAGTCATTAAGAGGGGGGGTGGAAGGTGTCATATTTGGAGATATTCCATCAACAGATGCTTTACCTATAGATCTTAAGCCCTTTTGGGAGCCGGCGGGAGACGAGGCAGCAGGATTGCAAGCTCTTTCCCCAGGTGATGAAACAGACTCTGACTTGACGTCCTCCGTTTTCAGAGATTTTTCTGGTACCTGCTGCTGACTCGCATCTGTGTCGATATGTAAATCTTGCTCTCCACTACTGGGCTTAGGACAGTCCGATTTTATCGCATTATGGGGCTCCGAACTTCCAAATTCCTTCAGAGCCGGGAAAGCGATGCTACTAGGTTTCAGAGGAAATTGGTTCTCCTTTTGCAAAGGGGGTTTTGGAGAACCTGGGCCGCCCAAATCGACACTTGTTCTGTTCTGCCGCAGCCGGTTATTTAGGCCTCTCTTCCATTCAGGCTCATTGGGAGTCTGTGGCCTAGATTTCGGAGAATCTGGCTTATTCAACGCACTCTCCAGCCAGGTAGCCTTGGTGGGGCTCCATCGTCTCGGATCCATCGTCTTAGAAGGACTGCTTGGCAAATCTGAAAATCTGTCTCCTGCATTGCTAATTGAGTTTGATCGTGACAACGGCTGGGAGGAGAGCAAAGATTTCGCGAAAACATCACTGGTTGATTTCGATGGTTCGAATTCTCCCTTCGTGGGATTGCGGACGACAGTAGCTTCGCTATGGATGGAACCGGGGCGTGAAGTTGGAATCTTTGGAGCAGCTTCATCGCTTGCTTCCTTGGGTAGACTTGCTGATGGAGCTGGATAGCCAGGCTTGGGAGTTGCATTGGGTCTCCCAGATGATTGAGCACTCCATCGTTTAGAGACGCTATCGGAACGCTTCATCATAGCACTTTGTACAAACCCACCCAAGCCTTTCGTTGGAGAAGAGGACCGATCACTAGAAAAGCGGCCTTGGGTCGGGGACATTTCAAACCGGTCAGTTGACTGGAAGTTATTGGCGGTAAAAGAGCCGCGAGACTCTAGTCTTTGAGAGGTTGACAACGGAACCGGAGAGCCCAATCCACCAGCAGTAGACACAGAAGAAACGCTGGAGAACCTATTTCCCACTGCACTTGTGCCAAATATAGAGCTAGCTCTGGACAGAGACCTGGAATGTTCACTGGCAAAGTCGTTGTTTATTAATTTTCCGGACTCGACGGTGGACTCTCTACCAAAGCCTGGAAGTCTAATATTCCCACTCATCGTAGAAACATCGGACACTGAGCTATCTTGAGCACGTCTGTATGCAGGAGACCCAATTCCTCTATCAGTCGTCTGGCGGAACCAGGCAGGGTCCTTCGAAGCCAGGGACTGCACGATATGAGATCGGGATGGGGTTGAATCTACGTCAGGTGAAACTTCAACAGGGGATTTAATAGATTGTAAGTTTAAGAAAGCCCCAGTACCAGCATCAAGATCTCGTGAATTAGGCCGTTGCTTCCATGAAAGCGGTCGTGGAGATGGTCGCAAGGTGGCTGGTGATCTGGCAGCGTTCCCTGCCAAATTGTCTGTTTTGGTCATATCTGGATCCTTTATTGCTGCTGCTGCTGCTGCTACTGGTTTGGTTTTCGAATCCTCAATATGCGTGGAGGGGAGAAGTGCCAAGGGCGGATCAATAGATAATGAAGATGTAGGAGAGGATTGACAGATGTTTCCAGCCAGGGTGGTGTCGAATGGACTATGAGAGTCTTTTGTTGGGGAGATGGATCGAACACGCTCTGCGTTGACATAGAAACATGGACAATGCTAAAGTTAGCCTGACCAATCTAGAATTGCCGTGCTATTGGCTCACTTTTTAATATATTATATTTTATCTTCAGAATTACGGTGATGAAAACATGACTTAACCCGCGGAAATGGGCGGGGATAGCAAGGTAATGGAGAATTCAAACTCACCAGCTCTTCTGGCCTGTCTTTCTCTCCGACCTTGTAGAATCTCTTCCTCTAGCTTCCTAGCACGCTCTTCATCTTCCTTGTCGCGTTTGTTGCCCAGCTCCCGGATGCGCACGAGGAAGTCATTAACATCTTCAGAGCCGTCCGTTTCAGTCTCACGGTTCATGGCGATGGCAGTTAGCTAGTAGCTAGGAGCTAGGTAGTTACAGATCAACAAATGAGCTCGAAGATGGAGGAAACAAAGGAAAAGCTTGCCACGACGCGGGTAATGAGACATTAACAAAAAAAAAAAAAAAAAAACACATCGGGATCTTGTACTGTTCCTGGCCAGTTCCTGGGCTTGTTCCAAGGATTTGTTGATGTCGGATTGAGTTAGTCACAAGCTGAGGTTTGGCTGTGACTTTTAACTTACATAATGCCGCTAATAACGAACCCACCAAGCGACCCATCTACGATTCTACGGAGTGGTTTACTACTATCAGACAATGAAGTTGCGGAAAAGAAGAATAGCTATGGAGGACTAGTGTCTTTTCTTATTATGCAATTAGCAGAAGAATCAGATAGATGGCCCCATTCTAGAAATCGCCTATACCTCACGAACGATTCCTCAGTCCTCGGTCCTCGCAGAATCCACCCCCTCACACTGGCGTTCAAGAAACTAAAATGGTAGTTAACTACTGAGACTAGTTACAGTTAAGGGGGGATCTCTTGGTGTTTATTCTCTCCTCTCCTTGTGAGGTGTGGACATGAACAATGCATCATTTATTATTTGTTTCTCTGCTTATTTTCACATCCACTCTGATTATCAATATCCTTCATCCAGGACCCTGTTTCAGCATGTTTCTTTCAGGAACAAAAGTGGTTTCAGTGGGGTCACTGAACTGTAGATCTATGCTATGTGATGAATTTGACATCGGCGTGATCGATTATCTAAACAATCTTGAAAATCATAAATTCATCAGACCAGCCTTGATTCAATACAATGATATTTAATATGATATTAATTTTTGCGCCATTTTTTACAGTCTCCCACGTAAAAATTTTATTTTGTGTGGGATTTCAAACCAACAACAATCCATGCAACCGTTTCTGGAAACCCGTTAAACGTTTTCCCACTGGCTGACCCTTTTGGGCAAAACCTGTTAAGATAGAGATATCGAGTAGATTAGTACAAAAAGAGCCTGTCCTTTGCATCTTGCACCACCCATTCAAGGCCCTCGTTCAGATTATGGCCCGTCATGGCGCTGCACGGGAATATCGTCCACTTGTGCGTCCTAATCGCATCGAGCTGCAACCCCTATGTGTTTTTTTCCGTAAATCATGAGTGATATATCAGCAAAATAGAAGGTAACAAGTTAGTTAGCTATTATTACCGTCGTAGCAATGCCGATTTACATACCTCTCGAACCTCAGCTTCACTCATACCGCCCTCGATATCGGTCTTGTTTAGAAAGACAAGCAAACTTGCGCCCGTAAGTCGCTTTTTTTTAAATTCATTTCAGCCCGAAAGGTTCTCTGATTTCAACCCCACCAATCAAAGCCAAGGGTTGGACAAAATAATGAAAGCATCAACTCCGATATCTTACCTCCTCCAGTAGAAGTCCAGCAAGCTCCCCTCGACAGTCATCAATCCTCATACGATCTGTGGCATCAACCACCCAGATCAGTGCATCCGTCTTCTCAAAATAGTTTCTCCAGTAAGATCGCAGCGTCTTCTGCCCTCCAACATCCCCTTCGCGGAAAAATCAGCCAGGTCGCGTTTTATTTAAGTTTTTAGTTTTTCCCCGCCTGAACCGCGAAACTGAATGGAGCTGGAATGAGAAAACCTAAAACGTACATATGTTCAACTTGTAGCTGGTATGGACGGAGAAGAGAATATCAGCCCATGCGAAAGAACTTTACGGATGCAATGGGACAACCTCTGCTTACCCTTGGAAGTCAATTGATTTAATGATAAACCCCAGCGTTGGGCTGACTGTGGTGACGTCTTCGTTCATGATCCTCTTGACAACAGTGGTCTTACCAGCGTTGTCCAGCCCTCTATAAATCCTTCCACTCAGCAAGCTGGTTCATCCATGCATGGTAGTTGGAGATGAGAAAGGAACTTACAGCATCAAAATCCTCATCTCCTTGTCCTTCAGCCTGGCTTTTCGCAGGATCGAAAGCATATTTATTTGCTTGTTTCTGTTCTTTGTTGGTTTTCTTTGGTTTTTGATGATGCTGCAGAGGTCAACCAGGCATCCAATGTTCTTTTTGTATTTTTATTAGACTCTCCACACCCAGCAAATACTCCCAACGCCAGAAGAAGCTTGATATATCTTAACATACTCTCTTCCTAATACATAGGAAGATATTTGAGCGTATTTTATATCCTTATTTCTTAAAGCTTTTTTTTTTTTCTTAAAAAAAAACCCTTACATGATCATATCTTCATGATTTCATATTGCTTTTCCTATTATCCCTTTCGGAGTCCCTGAAACCATCAACAGCGTATGTACACGTACAATCATGCACTCATCAGCTTATCAAGTTTCGGCAATACCAGCCATGCAGCTCGTGCTGTGCTTAATATATCATCAATGAATCCTGTGTAAACTTCTTTTCTTCTTTACAACACTTTTGACACATGTTCTTTCATGTGTTTTCACCAGAGCATCGCTATTTAATCTATCCCCCCGTGTAACACTACCTCTATAGGTAACAGAGCCTTCCCCTCGATTCTACATCATCTGTTCCTATTTTTGCTTTGGCACAGGATATCCACAGGAGGTCTGCCTGTATCAGAGCCTGAGTGTTGCTGTTGTTCACGTGGGGAGATGAGCATCAAGTTCCAAAGCTTCTCAGGGTAAGTAACCGTTCACGATGTTATATCAGCCCCGTAATTTTGGTGAGCTATTTGTATTAATAAAATAACTTACCTCATTCCCACAGACAACAGCAATGGAAGGACTCAGGGAATCGACCCATAGGGAATCTCCGCCAAGGGCTGACGAATGGAGTGAAGTCTTGATGGCCTTCAACACGGCTCCGGCAGATCCTCTCGCGAAATACAGGAGAACTACGCGAAAATCTCCCGTGGAAGCACCTCAGGCCCTGCAGGTACTTGAAAAAAATTGGAATTGGCTTGGGAACAGCTGCAGGTCCAGTGCCGTCGGGCACCGCCTTTACCACCTCTTCTAGGGCTCAAGCTCAAACCTCCCCAAAGGACAACGCTGGATTGCAAGGACTGCTTTTACCAGGGCCAAACATTGCAATTCCAGCGCAATTGAACACAGCAGCAACCATTTCTCCTGCAGTCCACGTGTCGCTGAAGGACGGAGCAAGTTAGCGCACAGATGTAATTCGCAATCCTGAATCCTCAAACCCTCGTCACCTTTCAAGCGAATATCAACCACCGACATAAAAATCCATCCCACATTCGCAGGTGCTGAAGACTCTGTGCAGAAAAAAGGTGAGACGAGTTTATTCACAAAAACCAAAAGGAAGAAAGAAAAAAATCATATACCTTTGCTTCAACTAACTTGTTACGCTGTCGTAATCACGCCCACTAACATGAACCAGGTGCTGATAAGAGGTCTCCCTTTACCTACAGGTATCTCTCCTAGTTCCCATGTTGTGTTGTAAAAATATTAACACATCCCAAAGATTCTCCTCAATCTCCTAAACCTCCTAAACCTGACCAACCACGTTCAGACTTGTCTGATGAATTCCGAACTCGACGACACAAGAGTTTCATAGGGAGATCACCCCTGGACCCAAGCAGTCCTGATTAACTGCGAACTGGATGACAGACTCCATATACCTTCCAAAATTTGCTCCAGAATTTGAATACCGAGAGCTCAGCCACTATTAACCGTTGCGAAGCCAATTCCAATAAAGCCACAGGTCGTAGCTCTCCCTCTGCCTATCAAGGCACGCATGAGACCCCAATCCCGATAGAGCTTCCAAATTTTTGTCATCGGCTAGAAACAAAGAACGTACGGCTCCAATGGTTTCGAACCTGCAGGTCAAATCCCCTGCAGGTGGAGCAAAGAAAATGCACATTAACGAACGGCTGGAGCGCCTTCAGAGGGAAGAGAAGAGAAAAATAGGTCTACAACGTCGTGGTATCAACATCTATGCCACCAAAGAGCCTTCAGCACTAGACATTGCACGTGAAGGAGAAGGGAATGATCCGAAATCGCCAGTTACCAAAGGAACACCTTCCGCTTTCACCAACCCAAATATAACGGCATCGTCGCCCACTAAGCAAAATGAGAGGTTGGAAAACAGTTCTCCCATCGATACGGAGTTAAACAAGCCCAGTTCTGGTATCCTTGAATACCGTAGTACTTATTCCGTACGCAGCTCCGGTTCCTCCAAACAAAAGGAAAAGAAACAACTGGTACCAGTGGACAACACAGTTTCTTCACCCCTGGTGAATTCGCAATATCGCCCTTGGGATAGTCAATCAGGCTCTGAATTTACTCACAGATTCACAAAATGGCTGGGTGCCGTGAGGATGTTGGATCGCGTCTGCGTGGATACGACCAGCCCACTGTTCAACGATGCAAATTTCCACTCCGATGGTGGGCATGAGATGATTGTCTCAGAAGCCATAGCACCAGCCACACTTCTTAACCTGGCCGATCCAGAGAATGCTGAGCATGCCCATGAGACAGCTCGTGGTTATATTCACAATTGGAATGCTAGAATCGATCGGGAGCAGGAAGAAATTAGTTCGAAAAGAGAGAAGATGGCCTTGCATATGAAACTCGCTTTCCAGAACCCTCAGCCCCTGGCGGTAGAGGCTAACCCACACACGCCAAAGGCAAAACTGTACATCCGACCCGTTGAAAAGAAAGACCTTCCCGGATTATTATACATCTTCAATTGGTATGTTCAGAACACAGTCTCCTGCGTCGATCTGCACAAACTATCTGTCCGCGCCATGAAGGAGCGTGTCGACGAATGCGAACGCGAGAAGTTTCCAACACTCGTTGCCGTCGAGCAGAAACCCTGCCTGGGTCACGCCCTCAGCGAAGAAAAGGAGAATATCTACGGTTACATCCTCTCAAGCGATTTCACAGGCCCTGCCACAACTAACCGCTACACTGCGGAATTGGAATTGTTCGTTGATCCCAAATACTACCGTCTTGGCGTTTGGTAAATGTCTTCTTGACAAGATGCTGGAAATCCTAGATGGCGACTATACTCCCTACCAGGGGTATCATTTTGACTGCGCCGCTGCCCAGGCTGATGTACACCGTGGGGGCAGGAATCGTCAACTGTCCAGATTGATTTTCATCATTCACCACAAGGCAGAAGACGATTCCAACTACAGATGGACAAAGGAATGGCTTGAGAGGAGATTCGGATTTGAAGAGCAGGCGCTGCTTAAGGGCACTGGATATAAAATGGGAGAATGGTGAGTCGTTTTTTCCCACCCCATGAGACCAATCTATATAGACCTGGTTTGACTGTGGTAATTCCCAAATTCCCATTTAACAATATTGCATGCTAACATGCTTTCTCAACCTTCAGGTTAAACTCTGCTACCTGGTCCGCACCACCGGGTATATCCCCGACAGAGCATTGCCAGAAAATTGAGACATCTTGTTACAATACGACAACCCTGTCCGAGCGTTAAACTTTAGTGGTGGAATGTTTTCTCATTGGCTATGCATTTGTTTCATCCATTACCACTATCCTAGCACTATTAGGGTCAAGTACAGCAGTGGTTGCGGTTTTTTTTTTTTTTTTTTTTTAGAGTTTCGGTCCCTTGGAACAGTTTCCCATGCTACTGCTCCAACACGTCCCCAAATTCATGATGGCAACAGTCCTCACTTGGTGCTTTTAATCGCATGTCTATTAGATGCAACGGAGAGTAATAAATTTCATTTTTCTTGTAATAGTTCATGCCATTTTTTTAATCCCTCACCACCTGAGCAACTAGTTAGCAAAGTATTAATTCAATTTCCTTCATTCAAACCCTGTCTTTTATAATAACTCCAATGTCTAGGTCATTCCACTCTTAGTTCTTGTCAGGTAGAAGGGGGAGTAAAAAGATGGAATAAAAGGAAAAAGGAAATCTTAATCAATTAACATAATCGTTCTCATATTCATGGGCCCATTTCTAACTCTAGTTGCTTTCTAAGGACATACATTATATTTCTCTTTGGTATCTTGCCTATCAAAAATTGACCGAAGGGAAGCCAAAAAAAAAAAAAAAAAAAAAAAAAAAAAAAAAAAAAAAAGGAAAGAAAGAAAGAAAAGAAAAGAAACAAAAAAAGGTTCAATTCAAAACTCCAAATCCAAACTTATCCCTTTTTTTAAACCCATGAACAGCTGCAGTGTAAAGAAAAATTGCCTTGTGATCCAACGGCGCTTACAGTCCCAGAAAGGGACAGGCCTGAAAGAGTTGCAGTGGTAGCGGAACGATGTTGGGAAGCTGCAGAAGATAAAGGGAGTGAAGTGGTATAAGAGCCACCTTGTTGGATGAAGATTGGATAAGATGAAGAAGCTGGGGTGGCAGCATGGGAATCCTGGCTGGGGCTTGCAGAAACCGAAGAAATTGAAGTGACGCTATTGCCGTGTTGTTGAAATACTGGGTAAGACGAAGGGAGTGGAGTGGTATTAGAGCCACAATGTTGGAAGGCTGGTTGAGATGAAGGAACTGGGGCGGCAGCATAGACATTCTGGTGGTGGGTTGTAGAAGCCGAAGGAACTGGGCTGGTGCCATTGCCATGTTGTCGAAAGACTGAGTAAGATGAAGGAGCTGGAGTAGAAGTAGTCGCGTTCAAATGATGGGTTGGGTAAGGCGCAGTTGGCAAAGTGGCATGACTGGAAGTGGTGGAGTTATAGAGCGTAGTATTCCAAGCGGAAGGTATAGAGATAGCAGCCTGAGAAGAAGTGACAGCAGCAGAAGATGCCTTTGCAGTGGCAGGAGATGCCTTTGCAGTGGAAGAAGATGCCTTTGCAGTGGCAGGAGATGCCTTAATAGCAGCATGAGATGCCTTAATAGCGGCAGGAGAAGAGCCACCACTGGCAGGTCCTAGACCATGGCCATACACCACGTTGGCACCTGGGTTCGGGAATACTGTATCGACACCCTCAACAGTCTTCCTGCCATTGCCCACATTAGCAACAAACATTTTGGGGAAAGAGTCGAAATTAGTTGTATTCTCGCTTCCACCTTCAATCCGAACCATGGCACAGTTCATGTACATCTCACGATTTCCAATGAGATTGAACCACGTCCAGGCGAAGAGAACTTCTCCTCGTGGTGCGGAGTGTGGAATTTCGACTGCGTAACTCTTAGCCAATGGGCAGCCACCAATCATTGACTTGATGACTCTGAAGGTGACGCCACCGTTGTAACTGAGAGAAACTTGACAGGAGCCGCCACCGTGGGTGGCTGTACCCTCGAGTTTGAGCTGGACGGTTTCCCCGGCTCCGTATACAGCAACAGGCGCTGTGCCTTTATCATGGTGATAGCCCTTGCAGGGAAAATCGGAACCTTGGGGAAGTAAGTTAGCTTTGATTAGGGACAAGTTTCCAGAGAGCAAAGTGGATTGGGCGGGCAGGGGTGTTAGTTTATCAACGAGAACAAATGTCACTAACCATCTGTCAAAAGAGGGGAGGTGTTGCTGTAATCAACATTGGGACCTGAACCGAACCGGCTGCGGAGGGCAAGAGGTTCTCTCATTTCCATATGAGCAAATGCAGATCTGGCTGCGACAGCAACGGTAAGAAGGCTGAGGGAATGCATAGTTCGAATATGAAGGACAGTAGGTAGGTATCTATATAAATAAATCTATGCAAGGGAGGGAAGGGAATGTATGTACGAGGAAAGCAATGAAGGACCAGCATTCAAAGCTTAAGAGGCAGATAAATGAATGACAATTAGCCTGGTGAATAGTGACACTATTGATATCGATGAGAGCATGGAGAAGAGCATTTCAGCCGGACGGAGAACCTTTATTTATGCCTTCCTGATCTTTCCATCAAGTCAAGGAGAGGCAAAAATCCACATTGAACGACCGAGGGGCTGTGTGTGTGTATTGAAGAATTTCAGGGCCCAAATCCACCAAAATCCCACCTCAGGGACCTTAGTCAGATACCTGGATACCACCCATCGGGGTCCACAGGCTCCTCCTATGCGGTCTTTTTGAATGGCGATAGACGGCCATCTCTCCAGGTTTCTGTTTCGGGCCGATTCCTTTCGTCGCATTATCAGGGATCAGAGTAAGTCCACCAATTTCTCAGGCCAGGGGGAAACTCCAGAAGGCGTTTGCATGTATACCGCTCTCCCGACAACAAACCGATACCGACCACCCCACAGTTCGTCTGGGGATGGGCAGGGATAATATTCACTTATGAGGGATTAAACGCGCATGCAAAATCTGCTGCTCTCCCAGACGACTGTAAGTGGCGGGGCGGCGGGAGGATGTGTGAATCAGGGGACAATAATTCAGGGTAGAGAGAAAATCGGTTCCCAGGAGCCCATTGCACTGGCCAATCAGATCCACAAGTTATTGGGGGGGCTGGGATTTAAGATTTCCTCAGCCACAGCAAAGAGCCATATGAGGCTGGTGCATCCACTAAGGTTCTCGCTGGTCTATCTCTAACGGAGAACAACCCCCCCGGAGAAAGTCATGACTTCATTCATTTTTATCGCACAGCCAGGAAGTCCGAGGGCATTTGTGGCGGCAGCCAGCTCAATCATCGATATAACCGCGCGCACATAGATATTTCAACCGGCTTCCCCGCGAGCGGCCGACTCGTCAGCCACTCCTCCTCGGCCCTAAAACTAAGGATCTTCTCCTTGCCCACACTTTGGAGAGAGACAAGCTGCGGCACTCGAAACAGGCGCAGTATTCGAGGAGTGGAAACGCCTAGATGATAAAGCACCGCATTCCACGATCTAGAACATAACATCGATTGAGATTTAGGCGCCCATTACCTTGGCAGAGGAGAGCAGGAAAGGGCATCATCGATGGATGGATCTGGCAGTGCATATAACACCTGATTTTGTATGCCGTACTCCGGACCATTGTGTTGTTGGTGGTTGGTAGAGAAGTTGATCAGCCGAGGAATAACTGCAGGTGTTGAAGTTCACCCTGAAACCCACCCCCCCCTTTACAACAATCCTGATATAAACAAGCTTAAGCGTCGCCCACGAACTAAAATATCCTCAATTCCTAATAACGCCCCCTTCAACGCGCGAGAATGCCACCTATTTGCCATTAAAGAACAAGAAGCTCAATGGAGATAGAGGCAAGACTTGAAACTTGTGTTGTGTTTACAATGCTATCTTCATGAAGTATTATAAATAGGAGTGAAGGAGTGAATTCTCACAGAGATTGACTTCAAGCCGAAGATCTGGATAAATGAGAATTCCCTTCGCAGCCAGCATTGGTTAGAATATGACTAATAATCTTATATTACAAAATCTCAAGGAGTCCTTTCACAGACTGCCAAGAACTGAATCTTCGAGACCCAACCGATTAACTCTGGTATGCAACTGATGATGACACTACAACCACGACCATCTGCAAATGTGAGGAGGATATTAGAGTTATTCAAAATAGATTTAAAACTTAAGCATAACTGCCGAGGTATAATATTCAAAAGAAGTATTATCTACAACTTCATTGAATTTGACTGCACAGCGCGAGAACTTTGTGTAAAGTATTATTATGTGGCGATGATTGCATAAAGCTGCTGCTATCAATGATCTTCTTGTAGAGATAGTTGAGATATTGGATGTAGCATTGTTTCTATATATTATTATCAGAAGGCCACTGCGCGGTATGGGGAGATTGATAGGAACCGCCCGACCACCTCAGACCATGAATATGTACATCACTCGGGCTCGGGAGCCCCTTCCGGAGCCCCTCTCCCTCTCGGGAGGTTACTGAGTGAGATGTGATGCTCTGATTGGCGGTTGGGAAGAAGGCTCAGTGGTGCCAAGACCCAGAGAGAGAGTTTGCCTCGACGATAATCACGGTCACATGACCTAACCGCCAGACGGGGGGGGGATGCCCATGTAGAACTGTTCTGTCGCATTACACCGCTTTGATGAGATGTGGGAAATTTCGACCCCCAACCAGAAAAGAAAAAAAAGAAAAAGAACGTTTAACGAGCCGAGAGCATTTTCTTGCAGTATATCACCACACTCGTTCAGTCCCCTACCAAATGGAAGAAGGCATTTATTTTGCTTAGTTCGTTATTGTATTCCTCTTGAAATACCGCACTCGTATGGCGAACTTTCAACGCTGAATAAATGGCTCCAATTCCTGGCAAAAAGAAAGCCAGTGATGATTTTATCTTGACGCTATCAGACGACGAAAACGACGTCGACCTTGACGATACAAAAGAATTTGGCCTAGTTACGACTGGATCGTTGAAAAGAAGTTTTAAAGCTTCGGGCGGCGCAAAACGGAGAAGGGACGACGACGATGTAACCGTCAACGGAGGGCAGAATAAGAAGTCGAAGGGGACCGAGATAAAGAAGGGTAAACCCCACAACTACTACAATGATGCTAGTGCTAGCCTTGAATATACGTCACAGTCTGATCATGATGCAAATGGAGATGATGATGATGATGATGATGATGATGATGATGATGATGGTGCATTGGATCCTGATTTCGAGTTCGATGTTGGAGGCGCGGCAATTGCGGACCTTGTAGAGGACTTTGATGGCTGGGCAGTTAATGAGCGGCCTGGGATGAAAATTGATGGCAGTAGGAATAAAATGTCAGTGGATATTGATGATATAATCTCCCGGAGGCAACAGAAGATGCAGGAGAAATTAGACAAACGGAGAAAGGAGCTACAGAAGAAAGAGGAGGAAAAATCGGAAGAGGAGTTCAATGGCATCGATTCGCAGGATGATGAAGATGAGCAAGCCGGTGCGGTTGATCTCGAAGACGACGAGCTATTGGCCCCTGATGCATTTGGTATGGGAGCTGGCAGCGTATCGGAGGAGGGAGAGGATGACGAATCCGAGGATGCTGAGGATACATCCGAACCCGATTCCGACGATGAAGCGGATTCCGATAACGACTCGGTTGCATCTCCCGTGGCACATCCGGACGATATTGCGTCAGACGATGGCTCAAGCGATGAAAGCGAAGATGCCGCGGAAGTCGAAAAGCAAAAAGCTTTCTTTGCTCCCGAAGATACCACATCAACCAAGGACAACCTGGAGACTGCAAAATCCTTCCAGGCTTTTTCACTCTCGAGGCCAATATTACGTGGCCTCACGTCAGTCGGTTTCACCACTCCGACTCCTATTCAACGGAAAACAATACCTGTTGCCCTGCTTGGCAAGGATGTCGTTGGCGGTGCTGTTACGGGTTCCGGTAAGACTGGTGCCTTCATCATTCCGATCCTAGAACGCCTTCTTTACCGCCCCAGGAAAGTTCCTACTAGCCGCGTCGCAATCCTGATGCCTACTCGAGAACTGGCTGTTCAATGTTACAACGTCGCTACTAAGCTTGCAACATACACCGATATTACATTCTGTCAGCTAGTCGGAGGTTTCAGTCTTAGGGAACAGGAGAACATCCTTAAGAAGAGACCTGATGTCATTATTGCAACCCCCGGTCGATTTATCGACCATATGAGAAACTCTGCCAGCTTCACAGTAGATACTTTGGAAATTCTTGTCCTCGACGAGGCAGATCGAATGCTGGAGGACGGATTCGCTGACGAACTGAATGAGATTCTGACGACAATTCCAAAATCTCGACAAACTATGCTTTTCTCCGCCACAATGACAAACACCATCGACAAACTCATTCGAGTGGGCCTTAACAGACCAGTCCGGTTGATGGTAAATGCTCAGAAGCAGACTGTTGGGACTCTGGTACAAGAATTTGTCAGGTTACGACCAGGCAGGGAAGATAAGCGTTTGGGTTACCTCGTCACTCTCTGTAAGACAGTTTATAAGGATCGTGTTATTATATTTTTCCGCGCCAAAAAAGAGGCGCATCGTGTCCGGATAATTTTTGGTCTTTTTGGACTTAAAGCTGCAGAGCTCCATGGAAGCATGAGTCAAGAACAGGTAAGTTTCGCCATCGCTCCAGGCACTTTAACCACTAATCTGGGACACGAACTAATGTTGTCCAATAGCGTATCAAAAGTGTAGAAAGCTTTCGAGATGGGAAGGTTTCTTTTCTTCTCGCAACTGACCTCGCATCCAGAGGTCTGGATATCAAAGGTGTGGAAACCGTTATTAACTACGAAGCCCCGCAGTCACACGAAATTTATCTGCATAGGGTGGGTCGTACGGCGCGTGCAGGGCGCTCAGGACGTGCGTGCACGATTGCTGCAGAACCAGACAGAAAAGTAGTCAAAGCTGCTGTGAAAACCGGTCGAGCTCAAGGGGCAAAAATTGTAAGCCGACTCATCGACGTTGCAGAAGCCGACAAGTGGGCCGCCAAGGTAGAGGAGATGGAGGACGAAGTCAAAGAGATCCTCAAAGAAGAAAAAGAGGAGAAGCAACTAGCTCAGGCGGAAATGGAAGTCACTCGCGGCAGCAACCTCATTAGCCATGAAAAGGAGATCATGTCAAGGCCGAAGCGCACATGGTTTGAGAGCGAAAAGGAAAAGCTGCAGGCTAAGCAACGAGCTCTTGAGGAACTGAATGGGCCGAGTAAGAAGAAGAAAGGCAAGCTTAGTGGCAAAGACAAAAAGAAACTGGACGATAGTCGGGAGAGGAAAGAAGGCAAAGTCTGGAAGAAGGGCAAAACTGCGCGGGAGAGCCAACTGAAGGGTCCAGGGAAAGGGAAAGGCAAGGGTCAACCAAAGGCTGGAGGGAAGAAAACCCCCATTAAGCGGAGAGGGGCGTAACTAATAATCATCGTCGGTTCTTCAAGCCTGAGCTTGATATATTTCATTTTTTGAACATTGCTTAATTGGCCACTGCATTAGCTCGCCAGGTGGCGCATAGTGTTGCTGATTTTGCTCAGCACTTTCTAGTTCATACGCCTCCTCTGCGACACAATACATTTTTACTACAGTTCAACTGACCTTCATCTCTCCCTCCATCTATATACTCTTGCTCTACATGAAATATCAATGTCCATATAACGGATCCAGTCCTTTGTTCCGCGGTTCTCCTTTATTTCCTCCACCAGGAGATTAGCAGTTCACGTGGTGATAGCGATAAACATCTGCTGACTCATTGCCACAACCCACATCTTCCGATTTCGGGAAGGGGAAGAGAAATTTATCGACGGACGCCACTGAGTCACCAGAGCGCAGAGGCAGAGAATTACAGCGTCTTTTGCTCTGGATATATATCTCTTCCTGTAAGCCCTTGTGTTGCCTCGTGTCTGTTTGGCTCAATCGTTGCTGTCTATATTCCAAACAGCGTTGATATACGTAACCTCCCTGTCTGGGCACCATTTGTCTCCCTTCCCCGCAAGCTTGCCCTGAGAACCGTCACGATTCAGCGGGTACTTATAGTCATTCACAATGCCCATGTAAGGTTGCCATTTACTTTGCTTTAGTGCATGTGAGCTATAGCTAACATCCTAATCAGGCTCAAGGACCCCTCCAAAAAGTACCAGCGCTTCAAGCCGTTGGATCTTCCCAATCGTCAATGGCCCTCCAAGACCATCGACAAGCCTCCCCGATGGTTGGCCACAGACCTCAGAGATGGCAATCAGAGTTTGGTTGATCCAATGGTATGACTGCAATCTTACAAGTTGCTGAATTCAAGCACTTGATGCGATATTTTACTTCATTGCTTCAGTTCCAACTCCAAGCTAATTATCCAACTATGTGACTCAATAGGATGGAGACCAAAAACTACGATTCTTCAGAATGCTTGTGGAGATTGGCTACAAGGAAATTGAGATATCGTTCCCATCAGCCTCGCAGACAGATTTCGATTTCACTCGACGTCTGATCGAAACACCAGGTGAAGTTCCCGACGATGTTTGGCTCCAAGTGCTCTGTCCGTGTCGAGAGGACTTTATCCGACGTACTGTCGAGTCCCTCAAAGGAGCCAAAAAGGCTATCCTCCATCTATATCTCGCCACAAGTGAATGCTTCCAAAGAATAGTCTTTGGCATGACAAGGCAGGAAAGCCTGGAACTTGCCGTACAGAGCACAAAATACGCTCGTTCAATCACCAAAGATGATCCGTCGACTGCTGGCACGGAGTGGCTTTTTGAATTTTCACCAGAAACGTTCTCGGATTCGGACCCTGATTTTGTTCTTGAAATTTGTGAGGCTGTGAAGGCGGCGTGGGAGCCAACCGTAGAAGCTCCTTTGATCTTTAACCTTCCCGCGACTGTGGAAATGTCTACCCCAAACGCTTATGCGGATCAAATTGAATACTTCTCAACACATATCTCGGAAAGGGAAAAGGTTTGTGTATCTCTGCATCCCCACAATGACCGTGGATGTGCTGTTGCTGCAGCGGAGTTGGCACAAATGGCCGGTGCTCAGCGAGTTGAAGGCACCCTATTCGGAAATGGAGAACGAACGGGAAATGTCGACTTGGTCACCCTAGCACTCAATCTCTACACACAAGGAATCTCCCCCGAGGTAGATTTCTCAGATATCAACTCTATAATCAAGGTAGTTGAGGAAAGCAACAAAATCCCGGTGAATGAAAGGTGCCCATATGGCGGGCAGCTCGTCGTTTGTGCCTTCAGCGGCAGTCACCAAGATGCGATCAAAAAGGGGTTCCAGCTCCGTGAGAAGACCCACGCAACCGACGAAGATAGGTGGCAAATACCCTACCTCCCAATTGATCCACGTGATATCGGGCGTAACTACGAAGCCATTATCCGTGTCAACTCGCAAAGCGGCAAGGGTGGTGTTGCCTGGGTTATCCTCCGTAGTCTTGAACTGGATCTTCCCCGTGGACTCCAAGTTGCATTCAGCAAGATCATCCAAAAACAAGCCGATGCTCTGGGTCGTGAACTATTGCCCAAGGAAATCGTCTCTCTTTTTGAAAACTCCTATCACCTCAAGCAAAACCCCCGTTTCTCCCTGGTAGACTATAATATCACCACCGACCGCTCACAGTCTCCGACGGCCCCCCAACCGGGGAAGGCCCTGAACACACAAAACTTGAAACGGCGTTTCGCTGGCATTATCGAAATCGATGGCCTACAACACGCCATCGTAGGCGTTGGCAACGGAGCAATTTCCTCCCTGGCCAACGCACTAAAATCTCTTGGAATCGACCTTGACGTTGTCGACTATAAGGAACATGCCATTGGGGCTCACAGAGAAACAAAAGCTGCGACCTACATCGAATGTACATCCACGAACAGCTCGGAGAAAGTATGGGGCGTTGGTATCCACCACGACGTTGTCCAAGCCAGTTTGACAGCCCTTCTGAGTGCTGCTAGTTCGGTCAGTGATGATCATTTCCTTTTTTTTTCTTTCCTTCATCCATCCAATAGATTAACATGGTTGCAACTGCACAGTTCCTCACATCACGTGCCACCACACCAGCACCATTCCGCCCATCCCGTGTTGAAGCACTCTCACAAGCCGATCTTGAAGCTCTCTACCAGATCCAGGGAAATACTGGGCCAGCTCGAGCTTTGCTACCAGACAATGCAAATTTGGGTGCTACTTTTACACAGCCAAAGGTCGATATTGCTAAGTTGGAAACACAGGTGAACGGGTTGAAATAAATAGCATGAAAGCATGCTTATCAATTTTGAAACTTTATATATATATACAAGTGGGTTGGTGGGAGCTAAAACTGCATTAGCAATATGATGAAAGAAGGAAAAAGGGAAACGAAATAGAGGACTTCATTTTATTGCTCATTTTAGTAACGTTTTCTGGTTGGAAAATTCGTGATGCTCTCTTGTCCGTTGTACAGAGGGCCGTGAGCAGTTTCTTTTCACTCATAGAAAGGGGGAAATAATTTGGGATTCCATAACAATTTAACGAGGAGAATATAATATGACAGCAACGGCAGAACCGGACTTAGCAGGTTTTTATTGGCACGGGTATATACATACATAATCCATCCTATTGAGGATGTTACATAGTCAAAAAAAAATAAATTCTCACGAGTGTGATAGAATGTCATAAAAAAGGTATAAAAAAAGCAGGGATACTATTATAAAATGTCTCCAAGGCAAGCCTCAGATTCCATCATCACCTCATCATGATGTCATTCGAAAAGGAACCCGCATAAAATATGTCAATCACATCATCTATAGAACATAAAATACCATACTATATCGCGAACATTTGCACAGTATGTATATGCAGCAAGCAGCTGAACAAACGGGTGTATAAAACTAAACATGCACATAATCGTTGCAAGCGGGGATATATCTGGGATAAAAAAGAGGTGAAAAAGACGAAGCCATATAAACAAGAGCGGAAAAAGCATGACTTTCAAGTAAATAAAATATATAACAAAAACTGGTTTCCTCGTCACAAAATGAAATGTCATAAAATCCGATCCAGCCCACCCATTAAAGTAAAAAATCCCAAATTATCCAGAGCCCAGCGCTCCCTTCCCCTCACAACTCAAAAAGCCCATGAAATTGACATGAACAAATTTACCTCCGGCCAGGGTTCTGATACACGAGCGCGTTCTCGGTCCAGTTATTAATCATGTATCCTCTTGTGGTTGTTGATATGGTCGTTGTTGGCATTTGCGCGTTGGGATTGCGGTGGTCACTGCTCTCATCCGTACGCGTACGATTGAGGTTGACCAGGAGAATAGAGGGACAAACAGAACCAGAACCAGGGATGTGCTGTGGGTGCTGACAATACGGATTGGACGAGACGAAGCTATATCTCGCCTGATGCCTGGCCAGCGAACTGACGCGGGTGTTTGGGGTGGGGGATTGACTTAGCGCTATAACTATGAGTATTATCGCGAGGGATGACGTCCTAACGTCCAAAAATAGGATGGGGCTATAAGCATTATTCTGGCGTTGATGCCCTTGGTATTAACCTTGATCTTGACCTTGAGTGTTAGACGAGAAGAAGGAGTCGTAATCGAAATCGTAGTCTAGTTGTGGTTTGTCATTAACATTGTCAGTGTTATTGTTACTGTCGTTGGAATTATCGACGCCTCCGACGAGCGCCAGTGGACGGGGAGCGGGGCTGGAGTGCTGATTGGTGTTATCATCATTGTCAGACTCTTCTGGGTTCACGATTGCCAGACGAGTAGGCTTTTCCATGGGCTCGTCATCGTCTTCATAATCGTCGAAGTCATTTTTGGATCTATCGCCAAATGAGAGACGGTAGTCAAAGTCTGTGGGGTTGTAGTTTTTGATGCTCTCCTCGTCATTCTCACGAAATGATGCTGCTTGTGGAGAAAGGCTTGGCGCAACAGCTGGGAGGGTAAAGGAATTAACCCGTTCTGTCGGAGTTGTTTGCTCTACCGGGGCTGCAGGTTCCTGTTGACGTTGTGGGGTATGACTTTCAAGATCTGATTGTGGAGTAGGATGACGGCTTCCAACTTCCGTGGTGCTGGGGACTTTGGAAGTTGTTCTGGTGCGTTCAGGGAGGTCAATGAGATGACTATCAAAGCCCTCGCCATCACGAATATTAAACTGAGCTATGGTCTGCATTTTTCGAGTCACCCATGATGCCAAGATCTTCCCACGTTGTTTCTCCCCTAGACGGGAGCGGGGGAAGTCGCCTCGCGGTACAAATGCGATGATATCTGCGACAACTTGGTGCTCGTTGAGAATTGCATTCAAGATCACGGGTACAAGAGAAGCTAAGTACGCTTTTCGAGTGACTTCAATGAGAGTTACCACAAGACCACCAGCTTGGAATACCGCGCTTATGGAAAGTCAGTAGGTGAAATACAGGAAATCTAGCAAGGGAATAATAAAGAGAGC